TACAATATATAATAGATTTATTTGACTTTTCATCATAATACACTAATTCTAATTTAAATTTTTTTATTAGCAGGATCTAGTCAATATCAACAACGTAAACGACGACCAGTATACGAACTACCTTGTGCCTTGGCCTCTTCGGTTTCGTTGCATGATAGTTCTGGGTTGTTAGAATGTGAAACTAAAGAGCGACAAACAATATGGCATGCAGATAGTAATTTAGCAAAAAATCGTCTTCCCCTGTACAATAGTTTTTTTCCTGAATTAATTCAAATTCAAACACATTTAGAAGATTTTTCTTTATGTGAAAAGCATTATAATCAACTTATCGTGTCTGATTTCTTACGACAAGTTCTTACAAGTTCGAATTATAAAAATAAATGACAAGCACATAATCTTGATTTAGAAAATGAATTGGTTGAAAAGCAAGCTCGTACAGAGCATGCTTATAAAATAGAAGTTGAAAAAAATACTTGCGAAATTGGCATTCAAACTGACGAGTTTAGTAATAAAAATACCCGTGATATTGGCATACAAGTAACTGATAACATGTCGCATACCCTTGAAAATTATATTAATATACTTCAAACGCAATTGAGTATAAAAATGAATGAGATAGAAAACCTTCAAAAACAATTAGACTATGCATATGATTATGTAATAGAGAGTTGGGAACGAATTCAGGAAATAAATAAAATAAATAAAGAGCTATCCGACCAAAATAATGCATTAAAATATTGTTGGGAAAATCGTTATAATAATCAAAAAAAAAGAATTGATTCGATAGTTCAAATTGCAAATTATGAACGTCAAAATGTTTATAATGATATTGAATCATTAATTTTAAATAAACAACGGTTTTCTCTTAACAGTTTATTGAATTTTGTACCCGAAAATTGGTTAGCTAATCGTAACCCAGTCGTTGTTAACTTAATTAATATGCTTACTCGTAATGATAATAATAACCATAGTTATACCTTAAATAAAAAACTTTTTAAAAAGATAGTTGCGATTGATGCGATATATGGGTCAAGGCATAAGAACTATGTATCAGAAATAAATCTTGCCATGTCAGGAATTAAATATTCGCTAGCACGATCTAAAACAATTACTGATATCGACAATCATATAATTAGTTCGGGAAGTTATACAAAATTCGTTAATTGGCTAGAATCGTTAGCCGTTGAACATGAACTTTTACCTAAGGGACTTCTATTTCTAGCCTTCGATAATGAACAACGAGGTCAGCATAATTATCTTGATCGTGGATATAATACGGTCATTTATCATACGGTAACGAGTTTTGTTGCACTAAATATGAATAAGAATGACCAAGCCTAATTTACAACTACTCCTTGGCTTTATGATTTGCTAAATGATCAACAATACGAAAAATTATATTATCCTACACCAGAGATGAAGGCAGAATGCGAATACGAATTAAATATATACTTAACTTCTATTTTAGAAGAACTTATTACCAAAAAAAGCCAAGAAATAAATACCATTGATCAAATTATGAAAAATCAAAAAGGCATTGGAAGTCATTCAAAATAGTGTAAAAAATGCAATACGACCAATATAGATAATAAAAAACGTACTTGTCCTAACTGTAATAAAAAATTGGATACATTAGCTGCCTTACAAGCTGAATCAGCTAATGAATTAATTCAGGTTGATAATATAACTTCTCAATCAAGAACTCCTATAATAAAGACTTATGAATATGCTCAAAATCAAAAAGCTTCTTATTTAGAGCATATTAGTATTACACAACAATTTGAACCCGATCAAGATGTTGTCATTCCGGAAATGTATATGCCAGATCCGTTGGAAGTTAATCCTAATTCACTAAATAATATCAAAAAAGTTTTAGAACATATACAAAGTATTACTGAAATCAATAAAGGAGCGAGAAAATAGTTACCTTTTACTTGCGACGGCATTCCCTATAATTTAGCACAAAAGATTAAAGACGATTTTCCATGGCTTATACTGATTCCTGGAGCCCTGCATGAAGAAATGAACATGCTTAAGTTATTTGTAGAATTAAATTGGTATTATTTCTTCGAGTGAATATTTCAGATATCTTTTTTGATTAATACTTAAATTAATTTTACTAATGCATTTTTTAAGGTCGATTGACATCAGACAATTCGCTACTTTCCAAGGATATAGAACCGAAAACCAACTTGGATTTTTTAAAAAATGTGCTGACCATCACAAGTCATGGGATTCTATTTGCAATATTTACCAATATGCAATGGCTTGTGAATTATTATGGCCATACGTAGTTGCAACTGATGACCCTTCTGTTGATAGTTATCTAAATTGGGTGAAAATACAAAATAACCACATATATAACCTAAAATTTGAACAGGTAAATTTTAAAAGAATACATAAGTATCTAAAAACATAACTAACAACATTAGTATTATAGATATTTACATACCTTCAAGCAATCATTAACTTTCGTATAGGTGTTAAAAACAACCGACCATTATTGGTGAATGCTGCTCGACGTATGTTTGCACCAATATGGTCTGGTCATAGACACTCTATTTACCGTTCAATTGAGATAACTTATAAGGTGCAATTAATGCAGTTAAATCCTGAGATTAGACAACATATAGAGCTATACTCCGTCATTTCACGATCAGGTTATTCTAACCAGCATCAAGGACTTGATGCTATTCTTGAAGAAGTAAATAAGTCTTTAAAAGCCCTAATTCCACCTGTACCTTCACAGAAACATTGGAGAATAGCAGCACGGAATTGTACGAAGTTTATAAAGGTCAGCAAAATATATCTAAAATATACCAAAAAAAACAAAAAAAATTAAATTTATACTTATTTTTGAAATAATTATTAGTTGCGCCACATGTTATTTAATATGATCGGGCATACTGATAATGAATTATCAGGAGGTCAGTCATGCCCTGATTATATCTCAGAATCACAAAAATTTTGAGTTCAATTGCGAAAAATGGGATTTTTGAATCCACAAAATAATGATCGTGCATTTAAAAGTCTTGGAGGGGAGTATTCACTTAGTGAACAACTAAAAAATTTTAGTAGCTTAGCGTGTGAAAGACGAATAACATTTATTAACGAAGCTTTTAAAAATAACAAGCAAAGTCCCCTACCTCGGCCAATACCTATTATTGTACAAGAAGAAGAAGCAGCCATGAGTGAGGAAAATATGAAGAAAGACGATCTTTTAGTACTTATTAATTCATTATTGAATTCCATCAATATCTCTGATCGTCCAAAATATCGTGGGTTAAAGCAAAAGACTCGTGGCCAATTGTTAGAGATCTTGCAAAATATTAAAAATTTGCACAATGACCAAGATGAATCTGAAAATGAGATAGAGCCAGAGAATAAATAATTATAATTCTGTAATTATTAAAACTATGTTAACAATGTAATATTGTAGCTTCGAATTTACCAAAAATTAATTTAAAAATGCATGTTACCTTACTTGAATACTTGTCAATGCTATAAATCTCATTACCAACAATTACGCTTTCAAAAGATCGAATAAACCATTATACTCATAAGAAGTAAACCTACAATAGATCTATTCGATAAGAGTTAAAGTCGAAAGAAAAAGATCAAAGCAAAATTAGTGTTTTCAGAGCTTAAAAGACAGTAATCTCAGATCAGGGAATTACAAGTTCTTACAGCATAAGAATTTTAATAAATTCCAATAAAGAACGTTATACTTTCCCTTTATAATGCTTGTAGGATCATAAAAAGCTAGTATACGTTGCTGTATTTACTCAAGCAATTCCTTCATTCATTCTAGTATTCTACTGTATATACAGATATAAAAGCTT